GTTTATATATAAATCAGTGTTTGTCAGATGATGAAGTCATATTAGCATCCATTACATCAGTTGTACTAATATTGTTTATTGTTAAAGCTTGAAGCTGGTGACTTTCACTGCCATTAAATGGTCAAGCTGGTATCTGTGTTTCTCTGTATGGAGTCGGGAGTGTAGCTCATTCCCGTGGGATTCTGGGATCAGGGGAGGCAGGTGTTGATGAAACTCCCCCTGAGGCTAATGCTTTGCCTAATGAAGGACAAAATCTCTCCCCCAAGAAAACGGCGTCAAAGTACATGTTAATCATTATATGTATTCATTTCATTTGTTATATTATTGCTTTTATTGGCACCCTGGGGTTTCTTTTTTATATCTGTCAATCATAAATCTCCATCCAGCAGCTAAACATTTAGGATTCATATAAAGCACAGATCTGTCAGAGTGTGTTGTTTTGTTGAGTGTGTGAGACGCTGACAGTGAGCAGAGAGCAGGACTGGGATGTTGTCAGTGACTTCATGCTCTCTGGAGATTACGGGAATAGTCTTGTGTACTTCTGTAACCATAGAAAACATTCCTTTATGGGTGTTAAATGCACAACAGTTGCTGGAGCGATATCTTAGGATGCATTGCATCATTTGCATGACAGTGGAGGGTTAATACATCTAATACACACACATAGCGGTGTGACGTGGCTCTCTTGGACTCGTTGAAGACCAGTAGTGCTGCTGATTTCTGGATGATATGTAGAGGTTTAATTGCACAAGTTGGAAGTCCAGCCAGAAGAGCATTGCAGCCTAGAAATGACGAGGTCCTGGACGAGAAGTAGTTGAATGTTCAGCTATAGGAAAGGCCTGATCTTCCTGATGCTGTGCAGTGCAAACCTGTGTAACCCGTGTCCCGCTGTGAAGGGCTTGCAGAGTTTAGACCCATCAGACACACATGAGCAAGCGGATCAAGCTCTTCAGCGTTACTAGAAAGATGAGCATACTTATGCGAACAGATCATCTCTTTTCTTCCTTAAACGTTTTTATTTGTTTGTTACATGAATTTTGTTGGTTTCAATATTACATTAAAGGTGTAAAAAGATCTGACAATCTCAGAGAGCTGCAGTTTTAACAGGGGTGTGTAGACTTTTACACACACTGTAGGTGTGAATTACATGATCTGAATGCATCGGTGGTTCGTCCGTCGACAATGCACAGCTAGTAATGGATTATCCATTACATTTGCTTACATTGTTGATTAAATAAAGATTTGTTTCTTAAACTCTCTCTATCTCTATCTCTCTCTCTATCTCTCTATCTCTCTCTCTCTCTATCTCTCTCTCTTCTCTCTCTCTCTCTCTCTCTCTCTCTCTCTCTCTCTCTCTCTCTCTCTCTCTCTCTCTCTCTCTCTCTCTCTCTCTCTCTTTCTCTCTCTCTCTCTCTCTCTCTCTCTCTCTCTCTCTGTCTGTCTATCTCTCTATCTCTCTCTCTCAGGCTGAAGGGCGAGCTGGCATACAATTACAAAGGACCAAGAACCAAAGACGACATAATCGAGTTCGCCAACAGAGTGGCTGGGTGAGAAATTAATACAGATACTGTTGAACCTTTAGCTACATTTTTTTTTTTTTTTTTTTTTCTTACCTTCTTAAAGTTAAAAGCTATCGGACATAATTCAATGTATGCTTATAAACCATATTTGCATTATTTCCTGCAGAATGTTGTTTTTGCAGCAAGATTGTCCTGTTAAGTTGTTGAGTTCATATTAAACACAATGATTTGTGTGAATATTACTATCTTTTTACGGGTGAATGTGGGTAGAGAGTAGGAATAAACTGCATATATAAGTCAGTTATCTTATGTCGTCACGAGTTCTGAGAGATTCGTCCTGTTCCTGCAAGGCCTTCTTTACGCAGAGCCTGAATGTTTGTGGGACTGATGGTTAAGTAGAGATGCCCTGAAAGAGAGTTTGAGTGATTAAAAATAAATATCTAACCTGATAAAAAATGTCATCTGCAAAAACATCCATCCATCTTCTTCCGCTTATCCGGGGCCAGGTCGCGGGGCATTAGTCTAAGCAGAGACGCCCAGACCTCCCTCTCCCTGGACCCTTCCTCCAGCTCTTCCGGGGGGACACCGAGGCGTTCCCAGGCCAGCCGGGAGACACAGTCCCTCCAGCGTGTCCTAGGTCTTCCCCGGGGTCTCCTCCCGGTGGGACGCGCCGGGAACTCCTCCACGGGAAGGCGTCCGGAACAGATGCCCGAGCCACCTCAGCTGGCCCTCTCGATGTGGAGGAGCAGCGGCTCTACTCTGAGCTCCTCCCGAGTGACCGAGCTCCTCACCCTATCTCTAAGGGATGACCCAGCCACCCTGCGGAGAAAGCTCATTTCGGCCGCCTGTGTCCGGGATCTTGTCCTTTCGGTCATGACCCACAGCTCATGACCATAGGTGAGAGTAGGACCGTAGCTCCTTCACCACGACACACCCGTACATCGACCGCATTACTGCAGAAGCTGCACTGATCCGTCTGTCAATCTCCCGTTCCATCCTTCCCTGGCTTGTGAACAAGACCCCAAGATACTTGAACTCCTCCACTTGAGACAGGGTCTCTCCACCAACCTGAAGTGAGCAAGCCACCCTTTTCCGACTGAGGACCATGGCCTCGGACTTGGAGGTGCTGATTCTCATCCCGGCCGCTTCACACTCGGCTGCAAACCGCCCCAGTGCATGCTGGAGGTCCTGGTCTGATGGGGCCAACATGACAACATCATCCGCTAAGAGCAGAGACTATCCCGTGGTCCCCAAACCGGACACCCTGCGGCCCCTGGCTGCGCCTAGAGATTCTGTCCATTAAAATTATGAATAGAACTGGTGACAAAGGGCAGCAAAAGCACATCAGCGAAACAGACACGTTTGGCTATTGACTATGAACGGCATCATTATGGAGTAAACATGAGCAGTTTCTGCGTGAACGACCCACGACCGGCAGATCAACAGGCTGCTTGTTTTCTTTCCAATATGGTTGGAAGAATTAAGTAGAATTAATTGAATGTGTAGTGTGTAAAGGAGGACACTAACTGTGACAGGATGATTGACAGGCCGGGTTACGGTGACAGAATGTGTGTAACTAAATGCCAAAGTGGTCTGTGGTTTCAAGGCATTTTTATGACGTTGTCCCAAAACTTGCTTACTTCTGTTACACTCAAAGGTTAGGGTTAGTTAGGTGTACTTTTTATTCACACAGAGTACATAGTTTTAGGGCGCATTATAAGTAGGGGAACTGAAGCAGGTTGAAGGTGTAGGATTGGACACTCATGGCATAGTTAAACCTGAAAGATCCCCAGGTAATGGATGTAATGCCATGTAGTGACTGAGACGAATCAGACACTTCTTATATTTAACAAATAATCTTTAAAACTTTTCACCCAACCACAAAACAAGGTGCCTGTGACACCCCCCAAAATGATAGAGCCAGGCCTCTGGTCCATGGTTTTACGACCAAAAAGAATGTGAAAGAGTCGACTCTCACTCCATTCCTATATTGAAACGCACATAATGCCCATAAAGGACTCTTCCACATTCACTCATAGGAAACATTCTATGAAGGAACATGCATATCTCCAGGACATCGTGTGTATGATTACTGCTGTCTTGTATAGTGTCTTTTGTATTGTGTGCCATTTTATGCATGCTATACGATAAAACCAACAATGAATGTTTCTTCACCTATACCATGTTTGGTATTTACGAATTTGTATTTTGATGATCTAAATGATTGTGTGTTTTATATGTTGATACCAATGCAACATTTCAGTATTACGAGAATCTTTAATAGTTTCTGCATCAATACCTAATCCAGTTACATATGCAAATTCGCATGCGCGAAGACAAAGAGTCGTAAACTCCTCCGAAAGCTTAAGTTAGCATGGGCTCCCTGACTCCTGGGAGAAGCGCTGTGACGAGGACTGGTGGGACGTCCCGCACATCTTTCACCCAGTCTGTGAAGAGAATTTCAGAATGACAGGAAACTCATTTATGACACTTAGTTCAAAAGAAAGACCTGCTCGTTCCACGCGTCATACGTCATTACTCATTACGCAGGACTCTCCAGTTTTGGTTTTCAAAGGAATAAACCACCCCTTACAATCTGAATTAAATTTTAATCAGATCTGGCCAATTCATTCCGATTGATGTGGTTACATGTGACTTTTTTCCGATTGGGCTACTAGTCCGATTACAATCAGATTGTTAGAGTCCATGTCAACGCAGCTTATGTTTAAGCAGAGCCAGACTAAAATCATAAGTTCATAATTTCTTTATTCAACGTGGAAGAAACCGATTTCAACTTCAACACCATCGACCCACAGAACCATCAAGACTTTCTTCTGAAACTGTATCCGGAAGCTTTTTCAATGTCTAAGGCAATACAAGTATTGTACGACTAGTTGACGAAGCAGAGGTTTATTATAAGCGGCCGACGACTCCGAACTGAAGCTTTGAAGTCAGAAACTGATGGTTCTGTTGAGATGGTTAAAGACTCTTCCATGGCTTTGGTTAGGTCTGTGTGAATGTGTTTGTTTAGATTAGTTATGTATTTGTTATTTAGTTAAATAAAACTTTGTGTACATTCATGCTTGTTGATTCTGGTCACTGCTTGCGAATCATCTTTAATTTGACGATTATGATCACAGCTTCATGCTAAGAAACATGCTATTTTTCTGTGGCCACGAAAAATATCCTTTCTGCGAGTTAAGAGATGATTAATACGGAGTGTTTGCTGGACGAACAGATTCATTGATTGTAATATTAGTTCAGCTACATCAAGTTAATTCAATTAACTGATCCAAATGTTTATAATTATAACAAGTTATGACTAATTATTCATATTTCCCTTTTGAGCTAATTTGCTGGAGTCATGTTCTCATTTGTGTGTGTGTGTGTGTGTGTGTGTGTGTTTCAGCCCGGCCGTGCGATCGCTCCCGAGTCGACAGATGTTTGAGCACGTCTTGAAGAGGCACAGTGTTCTGTTTGTGTATGTCGGAGGGGAATCTCCTCTTAAAGTGAGCTGATCTTCATACCTACACTGAACCAGAGCCAAGACACCGCAATAAAACTGCAACAGTAATGTTAACAATTGGCACAATAAATGGACAAAGCGTGATATATTGAAATGAAGAGCGTGACTGACAGGGAGTCTGTTTATACAGGCTAAAGAGTGAAGACAATTACTTCACTGAGACAAATATACATTGTCAGAAAAGTAAAAAATACATAGTAAATGAACAGTTGCGTTAGTGTTCATCTCAAAGTTGTTCTATACCGATCAACATTCCTTCTGATGTTCATTCATGTTTTTTGGTGCTGTAACTAGTAGTAAAGAGGAAGATATTGAGCTTGAACTGAGGTGGCTAAAATTCAGCTGGTCAGAAAATATATAAAGCATTTTTTGGCAACATAAACTGAAGGAATCTGAATACTTTTTTAATTCATTGTAATTAATAGTGATGTTCCTGGTCAAATATAAATGTGCTGAATCTTACTTTACTCTCTCTCTCTCTCTCTCTCTCTCTCTCTCTCTCTCTCTCTCTCTCTCTCTCTCTCTCTCTCTCTCTCTCTCTCTCTCTCTCTCTCTCTCTCTCTCTCTCTCTCTCTCTCTCACACACACACACACACACACACACACACACACACACACACACACACACACACACACACACACACACACACACACACACCTTTAACTCTTCTATCAATCACGTTAGTGTTGCTGTTGTGATTTCAGGAGAAATACATCGAGGTGGCGGCTGAGCTCATTGTCTACACATATTTCTTCTCTGCATCTGAAGACGCCTTAACAGAGGTGAAGCGACTCATGTTCAGATACTGCTGCTCATACTTTCATAATTCATATATCCATGTCTGTTTGTTTAAACACTCGTCACATGAAAACTCTCTATAAATATCTTCTTCTACTGCAGTCTGTGACTCTGCCTGAATTGCCTTCAGTGGTCGTCTTCAAAGATGGAAACTATTTCACGTATGATGGTAAGTGAAGAAAACTAAACCATCGTCTAGTTTTTGTTTATGTAAGTCTTTAATGTGTGATGATTGCTCAATCGCTGTAGCGGAACCATTCATCTCTTCCTCTTTATTTACTAGTTAGTTTCCCAGTAATTCTTTCTGGGCTCTACTGGCCCACCACAGTTACATAATGAAGCTCAATATTTTTACACTTCACATCATAATTATATAAAAGATCTCTAACATTGTGTTTTGTGCCATTGTTTTTAAAACGTATCTGTGAAACGAACTGAAATCGAAAGTGCGATAAAGCTTAAGGGCCCGTTCACGCCAAGAACGATAACTATAAAGATAAAGATATAGTTCTAAAAATCATCCTCAATCTTAAAGAACAGCAGAGCCACAGCAATAACGATAACGGCACAGAGAAACGATATCAATGGAATCACTTTCAGAACGATTTTATCCAGCTGATGAACGATAAAAACATTGACAGCCTATCAGAATCCATCCGAGCTAACGAGCTCGAGCATTTAAAGAGGCAGACAAGCACGCGCTTAGAATAAACAGAACGATATCGTCCGCTTGTGTGGACACTAATATATTTATCTTTATAGTTATCGTTCTTGGGTTGAACGGGCCTTTAGTGCCGCTTCGAAGCGAAGCGCTAGACTTTTATTCAAACTTAATGCAATCTACTTGACTGATAGAGTTGCGTATGTGGCCCTGGGGGGAGCCAGGTCGAGGCCCCACACAGCTACATGTGGAGTGCCCCAGGGCTCGGTTCTCGGCCCTACTCTTTTTTTCCATTTATATGCTCCCCTTGGGCCACATCCTCAGCAGGCATGGAGTTGCTTTCCATTGCTATGCTGATGATACTCAGCTCTATGTCAGGTTAGACCCCACATCCTCTGCACCATCACTCTCCACTCTAAATGCCTGCCTGGAGGAGACAAGGGCATGGATGACTGAAAACTTCCTTCAGTTAAACAGCTCTAAAACTGAAGGTCTCCTCATTGGGACCCCACATCAACTCTGATCTTCCCCCCTGATCAACTACTCATTTGCTGGCCATGACATTCCTTTGACATCCTCTATAACAAACTTGGGGGTTCGATTTGACCCCCACCTATCATTTAATACTCACATCCAACATACCTGTAAAACTGCATTTTTTCATCTCCGGAACATTTCCAAACTCCGCCCCTCCCTCTCTTTGTCTGATGCAGAGATGCTGGTGCATGCCTTTTGTCTCCTCCAGGCTCGACTACTGTAATTCACTCCTCATTGGGATCCCTGGCAGGAGCCTGCAGAGATTGCAGTACATTCAGAACTGCGCTGCCAGAGTCCTGATGGGGGTGTGCAAATTTGAGCACATCACACCCATCCTCCATAAACTTCACTGGCTCCCTGTTAGATTCAGGATTGATTACAAGATCTGTCTCCTGAACTATCAGTGCGCCTACGGTAGCGGACCATTGTACCTCAAAGAACTCATCACTATGCATAGCCCACCCCGACATCTCCGATCTTCTGACAGCCACAAACTGCAGGTTCCTATGTCCAAACTCCGTACTATGGGAGATAGGGCCTTCCAGGTAGCTGCGCCTGGACTGTGGAATGCCCTCCCCAATCACCTGAGGGCGCCAGTCTATAGAGGTTTTTAAAAATAAACTAAAGACCTACTTATTTTTAACTGCTTTTTCTTAATATATATCTTGCTCTTGCTGTCATTGACTGTTTTTATTTATTTTTATTGTTTTTACCTATGCACTTGTAGCACTCTGAGATATGTTCTTTATATGTAGAGTGCATTACAAATAAAACTTATTATTATTATTATTATTATAGTTAATGCTGGTTTTAGTTTAGCCTGTGGAAAGTCAGCATCGTTTGGCAGAGCTGTTCACAGATTCTTCGTTTCATAATAACAGCAGATTCATGTTTCAGAGTATGAAGATGGCAGCTTGTCATCCTGGGTAAATCGCGAGCGTTTCCAGAGTTATCTGCCGATCGATGGCTTCACGCTGTACGAGCTGGGAGAAACCGGTGAGTGACCGCGACATGAGCTTTAACTCAACTGTTGGAAAGGGTTAGGGTTAGAAGAGCATATGTTGGATAGAAAGCTCGCTTTTAGAGAAAGCATACTTTTGTAAATGATTGTTGTTGTGAAGTGGTTTCCGTTATAGTCTTTAGCACTGATCACATCACATGCATATAACAGCTTCGTGTGCGTTTCTTTATCTCCTTGATGAATGTAAATTAGTGAAAGTTGGTCAGCAAGAGCTGTTTTTGTTTTGGTCAAGAAAATATGTCCATTTTTACCATTTCTTTCTGTTCTGTGCGACAGGTAAATTGGTGGCGATTGCCGTTACTGACGAGAAGGATCCGACAGAGAAAAGCATGAGGTACAGACGGCCCCGGAGTGAGGCGATGTCTGACCTTTTCTTTAGTGCTTGAAGAATTGACTATAGAATTGGTTCCCTGTATTTCAGGTTAAAAGGTCTGATCCAGAGAGTGGCTGCGGAGCACCGGGATCAGTTCAACAGGTGAGAGACTCAGAAACTCTCCGTTTGACCAACACCAGCCTTCAGTTCAGCTCCAGGGCCTCGGTGCAGATCCTCGGTCCAGGGGCCTCGGTTCAGGGCCTCGGTTCAGATCCTCGGTTCAGGGCCTCGGTTCAGGGCCTCGGTTCAGATCCTCGGTTCAGGGCCTCGGTTCAGGGCCTCGGTTCAGGGCCTCGGTTCAGGGCCTCGGTTCAGGGCCTCGGTCCAGGGCCTCGGTCCAGGGCCTCGGTTCAGGGCCTCGGTTCAGGGCCTCGGTTCAGATCCTCGGTTCAGATCCTCGGTTCAGATCCTCGGTTCAGGGCCTCGGTTCAGATCCTCGGTTCAGATCCTCGGTTCAGGGCCTCGGTTCAGATCCTCGGTTCAGGGCCTCGGTTCAGGGCCTCGGTTCAGGGCCTCGGTTGAGGGCCTCGTTTCAGATCCTCGGTTGAGGGCCTCGTTTCAGATCCTCGGTTCAGGGCCTCGGTTCAGGGCCTCGGTTCAGGGCCTCGGTTCAGGGCCTCGGTTCAGGGCCTCGGTTCAGATCCTCGGTTCAGGGCCTCGGTTCAGATCCTCTGTTCAGATCCTCGGTTCAGGGCCTCGGTTCAGATCCTCGGTTCAGGGCCTCGGTTCAGGGCCTCGGTTCAGATCCTCCGATCAGATCCTCGGTTCAGGGCCTCGGTTCAGGGCCTCGGTTCAGGGCCTCGGTTCAGGGCCTCGGTCCAGATCTTCGGTTCAGATCCTCGGTTCAGATCCTCGGTTCAGATCCTCGGTTCAGGGCCTCGGTTCAGATCCTCGGTTCAGGGCCTCGGTTCAGGGCCTCGGTTCAGATCCTCGGTTCAGGGCCTCGGTTCAGATCCTCGGTTCAGATCCTCGGTTCAGGGCCTCGGTTCAGATCCTCGGTTCAGGGCCTCGGTTCAGATCCTCGGTTCAGGGCCTCGGTTCAGATCCTCGGTTCAGGGCCTCGGTTCAGATCCTCGGTTCAGGGCCTCGGTTCAGGGCCTCGGTTCAGATCCTCGGTTCAGGGCCTCGGTTCAGATCCTCGGTTCAGATCCTCGGTTCAGATCCTCGGTTCAGGGCCTCGGTTCAGATCCTCGGTTCAGGGCCTCGGTTCAGATCCTCGGTTCAGGGCCTCGGTTCAGGGCCTCGGTTCAGATCCTCGGTTCAGGGCCTCGGTTCAGGGCCTCGGTTCAGGGCCTCGGTTCAGATCCTCGGTTCAGGGCCTCGGTTCAGATCCTCGGTTCAGATCCTCGGTTCAGGGCCTCGGTTCAGGGCCTCGGTTCAGATCCTCGGTTCAGGGCCTCGGTTCAGGGCCTCGGTTCAGATCCTCGGTTCAGGGCCTCGGTTCAGATCCTCGGTTCAGATCCTCGGTTCAGATCCTCGGTTCAGGGCCTCGGTTCAGATCCTCGGTTCAGGGCCTCGGTTCAGGGCCTCGGTTCAGATTCTCGGTTCAGGGCCTCGGTTCAGATCCTCGGTTCAGGGCCTCGGTTCAGGGCCTCGGTTCAGATCCTCGGTTCAGGGCCTCGGTTCAGATCCTCGGTTCAGATCCTCGGTTCAGATCCTCGGTTCAGATCCTCGGTTCAGGGCCTCGGTTCAGGGCCTCGGTTCAGATCCTCGGTTCAGGGCCTCGGTTCAGATCCTCGGTTCAGGGCCTCGGTTCAGGGCCTCGGTTCAGATCCTCGGTTCAGGGCCTCGGTTCAGGGCCTCGGTTCAGATCCTCGGTTCAGGGCCTCGGTTCAGGGCCTCGGTTCAGATCCTCGGTTCAGGGCCTCGGTTCAGATCCTCGGTTCAGGGCCTCGGTTCAGGGCCTCGGTTCAGGGCCTCGGTTCAGGGCCTCGGTTCAGATCCTCGGTTCAGGGCCTCGGTTCAGATCCTCGGTTCAGGGCCTCGGTTCAGATCCTCGGTTCAGGGCCTCGGTTCAGGGCCTCGGTTCAGGGCCTCGGTTCAGGGCCTCGGTTCAGGGCCTCGGTTCAGATCTTCGGTTCAGATCCTCGGTTCAGGGCCTCCATTGAGATAACATGTTACTGTCAATCAAGAGAAAAAGACCCCTGACAGAAAAACACATTATTTTCCACATGTGGAGCACAAATACTGCACATTTTCAAAGTTTCACCATATTATTTTCTCATGCTGTCTTTCCTTCTGCGTGCCAGGGATTTCCAGTTTGGCCACATGGACGGTAACGACTACATCAACAGCCTGATCATGAGGTGAGTGTCTGGATCAGATGATGGCACAGATTCACTCATCTTCCTGATTTACTGAAGATGCACAAGTGTGAGGGAGATGGTTATACTGTAATCTCAGCACCCACGCTCTTCATCTCGTGTGTCTGCAGTGAGGTGCCGGTGCCCAGCCTCCTCATCCTCAACACCTCGAACGAGCAGTACTTCGTGCCGGAGGAGCCGGTGGAGAGTCTGGAGCAGATGCTGATGTTCTTCACCAGTGTTCTGGACGGCAGCGCTCCGGTGAACAGCTCATTCTCACTCCGTCTCTCGCTCGCAGCTAACATCAACTCAGATCAATTCATGCTTTAGAAGTAGTTTTCACTATTAGTTTGTTAACCAATATAGTTTAATAATGGTAACAAACATTTTCTGTTGAAAGACTAGCATAAATAGTGATGAAAGCCAAAGTATTAAATGTCACAGATGTATATTTACTGAGTAGTCCACTTTTTTGTTGAGGGGGTCAAAATGACAGTTTTCACCTGAGATTTGGAGCCAAATTACAGAGGTGTAAAAATGACTTTAGAAAGATGGCAGCATCATGATTTTATTTTCACATAGAGATTGGTAGCTCTCTTAGTGAAATCTATTTACTTTAGCAATCTTTGTATCAGTATATGCCAGCGGTGAGCGTTCAAAAAAGGGAAAAGGCACTTCTTGTGTTTGCATGCCTATTATTACAGCTGATTAGTGTTGTCAAAAGTACTGACTTCGCTACCAAGTCGGTAAGGCAAGGCAAGGCAAGTTTATTTATATAGCACATTTCATACACAATGGTAATTCAAAGTGCTTTACATAGGAGGAAATAATTAAAACAGTTTAGAATAAAAAAAAAAAAATAAAGTACAGTAAAAACAGTCGGACGGACAGTGGCACAGTGCTCATTCAGTAAATGCATAGCTAAACAGATGTGTTTTGAGTCTGGATTTGAATGTGACTACTGTAGGAGCACATCTGATCTCCTCTGGAAGCTGGTTCCAGCTGCGGCTGGCATAGTAGCTAAAAGCAGACTCTCCTTGCTTAGAGTGAACCCTTGGAATTTCTAACTGATGTGATCCTAATGATCTGAGTGATCTGTTGGGTTTATATTCAGTGAGGATATCGGCAATATATTGAGGTACTAGCCCATTGAATATATACCAGTAATAATACTTTAAAATCAATCCTAAATGTAACTGGGAGCCAGTGTAAAGACCTGAGGACTTCTGTGATATGTTCATATTTTCTGGTTCTGCTCAGCATCCTGGCAGCAGCGTTCTGTATGAGCTGCAACTGTCTTATGGTCTTTTTAGGAAGGCCAGTGAGGAGTCCATTACAATAATCCACCCTGCTGGTGATGAAAGCATGCACAAGTTTCTCTAAGTCTTGACTAGAAACAAAGCATCTAATTCTTGCAATATTTTTCAGATGATAGTTTGCTGATTTAGTTATTGCTTTGACATGACTACTGAAACTAAGGTCTGACTCTAGAGACACACCAAGATTCCTGACTTGATTTTTAGTTGTTAGACCCCTAGCGTCAAGGTATGCGTTCACCTTGAGAACTTCATCTTTGTTTCCAAACGCAATGACTTCAGTTTTGTCTTTGTTTAACTGAAGAAAGTTTTGGCACATCCAACCGTTTACTTCATCAATGCATTGGCACAGGGAGTCAATGGGGCTGTAGTCGTTAGGTGATAGGGCTAAGTCAGGGGTCGGCAACCTTTACCACGCAATGAGCCATTCGGACCCGTTTCCCACAGTAACGAAAACGCTGGGAGCCACAAAACCCAATGAAATAACACTGCATATAAGTTTATTTATTTATGTATTGTCTTTATTATGTATAAACAAACTATAATGTGTTGCATTTATTAAATCAATGAATGACTGCAGAGAAAACGAAATTACATTTCTGCATGCAACAAAAACATTTTGAACTCCGAAAAAAAGACGTTGGCTTGAAGGTTACTTTCAAGTAAAATAAATTAAAATACTCAATGACTAAATTTATGAAAAAACGCCGAACTTAAATTATCCACCGGCAGCAAACCAAAAATGCCGTCCTCTCTCTGTGTGCCGTCATCATTTTAGCTACTGGCGCGTGCAGTCAGCTGTCAACCTGAATAATAAAAGGACTACTTTAATGAACAATAATAAAAAAAAAATGAATATACGGTATACAAAATAATAGGCAATTAAAATATTTATCATACTTGGTTAATGTGATTTCTGCTCCTGAACCTCAGCGCACAGCGTCTGCACATCAGGGCTGTATGCCGTCACCTTCATCTTTACGCAGGATCGTAAGCTGTCATCTGTGAGGCGTGCGCGATGTTTGCTTTTAATATAGTTCATGTTGGAGAACACCTGCTCACATACGTATGTGGATCCAAAGATCGACAGGACTCCAAGTGCATACTTTTTCATGTTCACATAAACGTCGGGGATAGCATTCCAAGTTTCGAACACAAGTTTGTCAGGTTTGGGGAGGTTTTCAATATCACGCCATTTGTGATTCTGAGCAAGAACGGCCTTCTGACGGGCAACATCTTCAAGGTCTGCTGTCAAGCGTTTAAACTTGGACACCCATATGTCTTTGTCGGCTATGTCGGCCAGTTCCATCTCAAGATCAGGTTGACTCACACCTGCCAATGCAGTCGTATTCAGCAGGGATGGATCGATGCTTAGAGGAGTGACAGGGAAGGATAATGTGTTTTTTTCCTCTCTGAACTCACAGAATCGTTTCCCAAACGATGTTTGCATTGCGATGATTGCAGATTGTAAATACTCCGAATTTATCATGTGAGCTTCTTTGAACTCTCTCAAATTGGGGAAGTGTGATAGTGTACCTTTCTGTAAATCTCTGGCGAGCACTGTCAACTTGCGCTCGAATGCCAAAACCTCCTCCAACATGTGCAGGGCTGTGCGTCCTTTCCCCTGAAGAGCTGTGTTCAGCGTGTTCAAATGCGCTGTCATGTCTACCATGAAGTGTAGCTTTTCCAGCCACTCTGGCTGTTCCAGCTCAGGAAACGTGAGCCCTTTGCTGCCCAGGAAAGTTTTCACTTCTTCCAGACACGCGGCAAAGCGTTTCAGCACCTCCCCTCTGGACAGCCACCGGACTTTGTTGTGCAGCAGGAGATCAGAATATGTGCTTTCCATCTCGTCCAGTAACGAACGGAACTGACGGTGATTTAAACCTTTTGCCATTATTTTATTGACAATTTGAATGACAACATTCATTACTTCTGTGCATTCCGGAGGAAATGTTTGAGCACACAGTGCCTCTTGGTGCAGGATGCAGTGAAAAGTCAGCAGCTTTCTGTCCAGCGACTTCTGCAGTAAAGCCACAAAGCCCTTATGCGTTCCTACCATACTTGGTGCCCCATCAGTAGCCACTGACATCAGGTGGGTGGTGTTTATTCCTTTGGTTCTTAAACAATTCAAGACAGCCTCACAGATGTCCTCCCCCCGTGTTTGGCCTTTTAGTGGTATCAACTCAATCATTTCTTCCTGTGGCCCAGCAGAGTTTACATAACGGCAGAACAGCGCTATTTGTTCAATATCACCTTTGTCTTTAGATTCATCGCAGGCAATTGAGTATGCCACAGCTGAATTAATGTCTTTAATTTGCTGTCTGGTGATGTCTTCTGCCATTTTTATGGTTCTGTCTTTGACAGTCTTTGCAGAGAGGGGCATATCCCTGATTTTCTGCACAATTTCACTCTTGTTTTTAAAGTCTGTAAATAGATGTTCTGAAATCTTAATGAAAGATTCTTTTAAGTATTCTCCATCTGTGAACGGCTTACCGTGCCTGACTATTTCCTGAGCGGCTACAAAACTAGCATATGTACTTGAATTTGCAGACTTCATCCACTTCTTGAAGTGATTTTTGCTCAGATCAACCTTCCGCAGCAGTTCCGAAATTACTTTTTTTCTCTCATCTCCATCCGGATATTTTTGAGCAAAGGCTGCGTGTTTATTCTGGAAATGTCTTGAGACATTTGACTTTTTATTGTTTGCTAGTTTTTCAGTACATATTAAGCATACTGGTAAACCAGTCTCGTCAGCAGTGAAAGCATATAAATGAGCCCATGTAGCATTGAACGTTCTGTTTTCTTCCGACACTTTTCTTTTCTTAGAATTCTCCATAGTTGGCTCATAGACATGAAATATTTTCCATTGGACAAGTTCAAAAAATCGCGCGCTGGTGGGTGTCGCACATTGGCGGTTGTGACGCATATTAAGAGCGACAAAAGATTTTAATACGTTTTTTGTGTTACAAATTAGATGTTACAAGATCACCATAATCTTCAAATTTAGAATTACATTTTAAACCTTTCACACACGTAAAGTTAAAATATTGTGAGTGTTTCTAATCTAGGCGACCGTTATTTAGAACCTGTCACTTTAATGTTTCCATGGTGACGCGTCATTGCTTGTCACGTGCGCAACCACATTGTCATTTTTCCTTTATTCAAAATATTCACTAATGTATTAGCTATAACAAGAAACACCTATATTCCGACTGTCAAATATGTGACAGTTCTCTGAAAGCGGCACTAAAACTTCCACAAAGACCTCAAACAGAAAGCACAAAGCCTTTCTTTAAAGTGAATTTCGTTTTGTATTAATTGTATCTTAATTTTAATAAATGTTTCATCGACCAATTACCTGTAGGTTTTTAATTACCTATTTAACAAATAAGAAGTAAATATAGCAGACAATAGATAATCACGACACGGATTATCACTAACCCGTCCAGATGCAATGCTACCACATCTTTAAAAAAATTGTTTTTCGTGTTCGCATTTATGAGGAAAAAACAATGTATTATAACGTGCGCGTTAGTTGAGCTGTATGTGCGTCTTGTGCGATATGGGCTGCGCGATGCTATTTTACAACACGTCAATTCCTCAACTTCTCACGAAATACGTGAAAGTGGCCGGTGAACTGGGAGAGGAATAGGGTAAAATATAAAGCTACTTACACAATGTGTATCTGATATGAATAAAACGTGTTGTCTTTTTATAATGGAAAGGACCATTATTGCCGCTTCCATAGACATCAGTGTGTATTTTACAAACTCAAAATATATATTTTTTGCTAGTACTTATGTGTATTTAAATGTCTGAAACCTAAAATAAACATTATGTGGTTGAAAACACTGAATAGTTGTGATATATGACAGCACTGAGCGCGTCTGTCTCTGGCTCAGCGCCAGCCAACTCGCAACAGCACGGTTGAATTTAGCAGTTGATCACGTGATGCACTGAACGTTCTAGCGTACGCTCCAGGGACCAGCCAAGACTGATCACACCGGTGTGTGATCATACGTGCGAAAATGTTAAAAACGAACGAATTAAAATTAAATAAATTTTAATCAATTAATTACTCATTCATTATTTTCAAAAGCCACAGGGAGCCGCATCAGAGAGATGAAAGAGCCGCATGCGGCTCCGGAGCCGCGGGTTGCCGACCCCTGGGCTAAGTAGAGCTGTGTGTCGTCTGCATAGCTGTGGTAAGAGATTCGGTTCTTTCTCATTATTTGGCTCATTGGGAGCATATACAGGTTGAATAGGAGTGGTGCAAGAATTGAGCCTTGAGGGACTCCGCATGTCATGGATGTCCACTCAGACTTATGGTCTCCTATACTCACATAATAACCTCTCCCTTCTAAGTATGACCTGAACCATTTTAGGACTATCTCAGAAAGCCCCACCCAGTTTTCCAGCCTGTCAAGAAGTATGTTGTGATCGACAGTGTCAAATGCAGCACTGAGGTTGAGTAGTACCAGCACTGATAATTTGCCTGTATCAGTATTTAAGCGGATATCGTTTATTATCTTTATGAGAGCTGTCTCTGTGCTGTGATGCGATCGGAAACCAGATTGAAAATTGTCAAAGTATCCATTCAAGCTTAGGAATTTGTTCAGCTGATTGAAAAAAACTTTTTCAATGATCTTGCCTATGAAAGGAAGATTTGAGATCGGTCTATAATTGCTTAAGATGGACTTATGCAGATTGCTCTTTTTCAGGTGGGCCTTGACAACTACAGTTTTCAGGGAGTTTGGGAAACTCCCAGAGAGAAGTGAGGCATTTACCACTTCTAGGAGATCTGCTTCTAAGCTGTTTAACACACTTTTGAAAAAAGATGTGGGAAGTGTGTCAAGGGCGCAGGTTGATGTTTTAAGGTGCTGTACGGTTTCTTCCAAAATTGTGCCATCAATTTCTTCGAAAACAGACATAGTAACTACTTTCTCAGGTAGTGGTCTGATCTGTTTGACCCCAGCGCAACACAACGATGAGCTGATCACCTTTCTGATATTATTAATTTTCTCAGAGAAGAAAGAAGCAAACTCACTGCACTTGCTGTCTGAGAGCATTTCACTGGGAATCTGGCTTGGGGGGTTTGTCAGTCTCTCTACAGTAGCAAAAAGAGTGCGTGTGTTGTTTAAGTTGCTGTTTATAATATTCGAGAAGAAAGTCTGTCTAGCTTTGCCTAGTTCCATATTAAAAGCATGGATGCTGTCTTTGTAGATGTTATAATGGACTACAAGTTTTGTCTTCCGCCACATGCGCTCTGCTCTTCTGCATGTTCTTTTCATGTTTTGCACAGCTGTTGAGGTTCTCCAAGGTGCTTTTTGTCTACCACTATTCTTCCTGACTTTCACAGGAGCAATATCATCAATTACACTTTTAATTTTTGAGTTAAAAGATTCAAGGAGAAAATCAACAGAGTCAGCAGATATGCTTGGTTTTAAAGATATAGCCTTCATAAATAGCACACTAATGTTCTCATTTAAGCATCTCTTCTTGACAGACACAGGTCTAGCTTCAATGGCAGGAGAGATCAGTATATCAAAGAAAATACAGAAATGATCAGACAGTGCTACATCCTTGATAACAATCGATGAGATGTTTAAACCCTTACTGATAAGTAAATCTAGAGTGTGTCCACGATTATGTGTGGGTCCTTGTACATGCTGAGTCAGATGAAAAGTTTTGAAAACAGTTTTGATTTCTTTTGCCATATTGGTTTCTGCATTATCTATGTGAATGTTAAAATCTCCAGCAATGGCAAAACAGTCAAACTCAGAGGAAATTGTTGATAACAGTTCTGTAAAGTCCTCAGCAAAGGCTGGAGAGTATTTTGGAGGCCTGTAAATAATGATAAGTAAAATACGTGGAGCACCTTTTAACACAATACCCAGATATTCGAAAGACGGGTAATTCCCAAATGATATTTGCTTACATTGATAGACATCTTTAAAAAGAGCAGCTAAGCCCCCGCCTCTCTTTCCCACTCTGAAAACACTCATAAAAGTAAAGTTAGGAGGGGATGTTTCATTGAGGACTGTTGCACTGCAGCTGTCTTCTAGCCACGTTTCATTTAGAAACATAAAGTCCAGGTTGTATGTGGTTATTAAGTCGTTGACTAGAAGTGATTTATTTTTAAGTGAGCGGATGTTTAAAAGTGCTAACTTAACAGTCTTACTTTTTGTCCCCACAGCAATCTTAGTTTGGTGCGTAATAGGCACCAGATTAGATGGGTTTGCTGTACGGCTTTTGAAGGCCTTAGAATTTCTATCATGTAATTGAACGGCAATAGAGAAAGATACAGGCACACTGGGTTCCCGCTTGTTCTGTAAACATTTAAGAAAGTTACTGTTTTCATAGCGGGGACCCGACACATATCACTGAGAGCTGGTATCAGTTGTTTTTGGTTCACCGCGAGCCGCTGGAGGAGGGTGTGTGCCCTGGCGCTGTGGCAGAGGCCGAAGAGCTCTCACAGGAGGAGGGGGAGGGCGAGCTGGGCCCGCAGGCTTTCGTGGTTTTGGGGCCTGCCGTTTTTTGGTTGACATCTGGGGGCTTGCAGCAAAAGAGTGGGATAGTTTGGTTCCAGCATACACCAGTTGTTCCATTTTCTCTGAGAAGCACAGAAGTGGAGTTGCTGGAGAGAGGGATAACGTGTCTGGTGAGAGGGGCTGTTGTTCTGGTGTTATCGGAGGCTGTAATATGCTGTCCTGGATTCCCTGGCTGTTTTCCAGAAAGTCGTCCTTGGGTGCTGAATCTTGGAGCAGTTCTAGTATGTCACAGTCTGTTTGTGGTGAGCTCTGTGGGCAGGGCTCAGCTGAGATTGTGTCCGTGAGCAGAGGTTGTTGTGGCTGAGTGGTGTTATCATTGTCCTTGTGTGATGTGTCGGCCGCATGTCCATCCACGTGCTGAAGTGAAGTCCTGTTGTCATTCATACTGTGTCCAGGTGTGTGTGTGCCATTCAGGTTGAGTGGATTGGCACACACTGCAGAAGGATGATGGAGGGAGAAGTAGATATTGTCCTTTAGCACTCTTGAGCCAAGTTTGTTTGGGTGGTGGCCATCCTGTTGAAACAGTTGCCTCTGACTCTAGAAAAGATTGAAGTTGTCAATGAAGTTCACTCCTTTTATATTGCAGGTTTTTTGCAGCCATGTGTTAAGCCCAAGCAACCGTGAAAACCTGTTTGTTCCTCTTGCTGGGAGTGGTCCACTGATGAATGTCTGAACTTTCAGTCTTTTCAGTGTTTCAAAAAGTTCCTTGAAATCCTTCTTAAGGAGTTCTGACTGCTCTTCATGAATATCATTCTTCCCCACATGAACAATGAGTCGATTTGCAGTCTTATGTTTCATCAGAATGTTCTGAAGTTCCCTGTTTACATCAGAAGTCGTTGCTTGTGGAAGGCAGCACGTAGTTGTGTCCCTGCTAATAATGTTTCTGATTATGGAGTCACCCACTATCAGAGTCCTGTGCTGGGCTGCGCTCTGAGCTGAGTGCCGCTGTCTGCTCAACCTTGAGCGCCAGTTAGCAGTGTTAGCTACTGGCTTATTCATTCTGTGTTCGATCACATTCATCACATTCAGGGATTCCTCATTCATTAATACTTCAAATCTGTTCTCAAGATGTATAGGCGGTGGTGGGAGACCAGTGTTTGCAATCCTTGTCAGAGCCGTATCTGGGGTAGAGGAGGCTACTGCGGCAATGTGTGATGCTCGTGACAATCTGATGTCTCGAGTGCCTTTGGGTCTCGCTCCCTGTTTGTGCCATCGATTTGTAAGTCGATCGGCTTGTTTCTCTACACTTAGTATGGCCTGTCGAGGAGCACTAGATTCATGGGACTCACCGGCTGTATGCTGAGGGCGTCCATGACGAAGCTCTGTTGTGTGTTCCGTCTGGTTTGGTGGTCCCACAAGTAACTTTGTTTCAAGAACTGCAATCCTTTGTAAAAGTCTCTGGCAGTTAGTGCAGCAAGTAGATTCCAGAAGAGGCATTTTCTCTTATCCTTATGAATGTAGGCAGTTGTGTTTTCTCTTCCCCGGAATGTAAGCTTTCAGTGGGAGGCTGGTCGGAGAAAAGAATTCTGCTTTTTTCTAGTAATCAAGCGTTTGAGCACTGTGCTGATTTGCTGAAGTTAAAATTAGGTGATAAAAGGAAATAAAATATAAAAATATAAACGATAGAGCAATAAAAAATATAAAAGCGATAGAGCAAAGCGCGGAGCAGTAAGCAAGAGCGTCCGAACAGTAGCTGAGCAGGAAGTCGGTACTTAAATAAAAAAAATGGCATGTATTTCCCTTCAGCTGACATTTAATATATTGGCTTTCTTCACTATTTATGGTTGTCTTTCTACAGAAAAAATATTAACAAAATCAAAACATTGAGCTGGGGACCTCTGGTTGAGTTGACACGGAATGACCCTGTTGCAAAGTGTTAATTAAATGAGACTAGTTAATTTCATCCAATTCCAAATGATTAACATCCTGCATCATATTCCCAACAGGCTTATGGAGGAGATGGAATATTCCAGAGGATCAAGCGTGTGGCGTTTGATGCCCGATCCACAATAATGGTGAGTCGAGGTTAAGAAACTAACTTAATTCATGGAGACGTTATATTGAACTGTTAATTCAAATATGATTTATATTCTTTACGCTGAATGACAATTGAAGGAGTTGATGTTACTGGTTGAACCTGGCTTTAATTAAACAATTATCGTGATCGGTGTTTAACTTTTCACTAGAAGTTTGAAACTAACGCTGAGTCTGAGCCAGCTGCTGTCTGAACTGATTCAGCCCCTCTCCACCGAAAGCCATCCCCGGCCTGTCAGAATGGGTCCCAAACACGGTGATGCGAGGTTACTCGCTTCAGTTCGCTCACAGACTACCACGCTTCAGAGGCATAGTCCACACTTCGGTCAGGAGCAATGTAGCACATGTCCTCTGCACCGAAGTGATGATTTTACTGGCGAAAGGAGCTGTAGAGACAGTTCCTCCTCCCCACAGCGAGTCAGGCTTCTACAGCCTCTTCTTCATCATTCCCAAGAAGAATGGCGGCCTCAGGCCCATCCCAGACCTCAGACTTCTGGCCCTCATGAGACGGACGTTCAAGATGCTAACATTGAACAAATCCTCTCGCAAGTACACCCAGGGGATTGTTTTTTTTTCTCAGTGGATCCGAAAAATGCATACTTTCATATCCAAATAGCCCCCTGTCACAGACCGCTTTGAGATTCGCGTTCAAAAGGGTGGCATACCAGCGGTATACGGTCCTACCATTCAGACTAGGCCTTATGGCCTCTGCATCGCCAGTACTTCTGCTGGGCCTGCTACACATGCGCCCCCTACAGTTATGGCTGAAGACCCAGGCCCCAGCTCACTCGTGGCGTTCAGGTCGCCTCCACGTCTGCATCAGAGCCCCGGAGTAAGCATGGGGTTGGTCTGGAGGAGGAAGGTGGTCTCCACGGACGCCTCAAACACAGGTTGGGGAGCTCTGTGCGAAGGCAGACCAACTTACAGCTCCTGTTCGAGCATGGAAAAGCGGCTGCATATTAACTTCCTTGAAATAATGGCGGTTTATCTGGGCCTCAAAACCTTCCTACCAGACCTAATAGGACACCATGTCTTAGTTCGATCAGACAACATGGCGGTAGTGTCCTACATAAACCACCATGGTGGACTCAGGTGGACTATTATGGCCACAATGTGCAGACTGAACCAGGGAGCAGACATGCTGTCCCGGAACAACGTGTTCCCAGGGGAATAGTCCCTCCATCCCCAGACGGTTCATACAATCTGGAGCAGCTTCGGCAAGGCGGAGGGCGACCTCTTCGTACTCTCACTGCCCAATAATCTTCTCAAAGATCATCGATGCGCTGGCCCACGAATGGCCCAGCCTCCCCCTTTACGCTTTTCCCCCGGTCACGCTCCTCCCTCAGGTCATCAGACGGATCAGGGAAGACAGGCGTGCTGTCCTTCTGGTGACCCTTCTCTGGCGGACCCAACTGTGGTTCCCCGAGTTGATTCAGCAGATCGCAGCCCTGTGGCCAATTCCCCGGAGGAAAGACCTCCTTTCCCGGCATCCCGACCCAAGATGTGGGCCTTCTACACATGGCCCCTCAACGGGAGCTTACGGACCTCCCAGCGAGAGTCCTGACTACTCTCTCAGAGACTAGAGCTCCGTCCACGAGACGTCTCTACGCTCTTAAGTGGTCCGTCTTCTCTGACTGGTGTTCAGTCCAGAACCAGGCCCCTTTATCATGCGAATTACCTCTGGTACTCTCCCTCTTACAAGAGCTGATGGACGCGGGTCGCACCCCCTCCACGCTCAGTCTATGTGGAGGCCATAGCAGCGCACCACACTCCTGTGGCCGGCCAAGCTCTGGGTAGAAGCGGCCTGGCTCCGCTTCCTGAAAGGGGCAAGAGGCTCAACCCTCCTCGGCCTCTGACCA